CCACTTCATTTTGGTGGTGCCCCCATTTTCAGTTTTTTTTTTTATTTTTAGTCAATATCTTAACTCTTAGCCACAACCACATTTACCAATTGCCTAAGCAAGTATATATGAATGTGCTATGTGTATATATGTTGTGGACGCTGAGTAGTGAGTACTTACCAGGAACGTTATCAGGTAAGCGAATCGTTGTCAGTCCGACGAACTTGACCCTGGCGTCTAAAGGGTCTGTCCTTGACACTTCAGGCTTGTCAGGGGCACCAAAGTCCTTCCAGGGACACCACAAACCTGTCAGGGGCACCTACGGCCTTGTAGGGGCGCCACAGGCCCGCCAGGAAGCAGGGGCACCACAGGCCTAGCAAGGACACTACAGGCCTGTCAGGGGCACAACGGGCTTGTTGGGCCCATGAGCACCCCTAGGGGCAGGGGCACCACAGTCCTTCCAGGGGCGCCGCAGGCCTGTGAGGGGCACCAGCGGCCTAGCAGGGGCACCAGTCAACACAGGCCTGCCAGGGGCGCCACAGACCTGCCAGGGGCACCACAGACTTGCCAGGGGCACCAGAGGTCTGTCAGGGGCACCACCGGCCTCGCAGGGGCACCTTGGGCCTGTCAGGGGCACCACGGGCCTGCCGAGGGGCACTTCAGGCTTTTCAGGGGCACCATAGTCCTCTCCGGGCGCAGGGGTAGCAGCGGCCTAGCAAGGGCACCAGAGGCCTGCCAGGGGCACCACAGGCCTAACAAGGGCACCACGGGCCTGTCAGGGGCACCTCAGGCTTGTCAGAGCCCAGGGACACCACAGTCCTTCCAAGGGCACCGCAAGCCTGTCAGGGGCACCAGAGGAGGCCTGCCAGGGGCACCACAGTCCTTCCAGGGACACCAGAGACCTAGCAAGGACACCACAGGCCTGCCATGGACACCACAGGCCTGCCAGGGGCACCACCGGCCTTGCACTGGCGCCTCAGGCCTGTCAGGGGCACCACGTGCCTGCCGGGGACACTTCAGGCTTGTCAGGGGCGTTACAGTCCTGTCAGGGCCCAGGGGCACCAGGCCCGTGGTGTCCCTGCTAGGCCTGTGGTGCCCGTGGCGGTCCTGTGGTGCCCCTGTCAGGACTGTGATACCCCTGATAGGCCGGTGGTGCCCCTGGCAGGTCTTTGGGCCCCCGGGCCTCAAGGGGGGGGCCATGACCCATGTGACCCCCCCTTGGATCCGCCACTGAGTTCAAGTGATGATGGGTCAATAACTGAACCATTTTAATGATTGTTTGTGTATGAAACTAATGAAATAAAAACAAACTAATTTTAATCTATTTTTACAGAGATGAATACATTTATGATTTTAGATTTAAATATAACGCTTAATTAATTAAGAATAAACCTCAACATAGAAAGATTAGGATTCTTCATGGCTCACTCGTGGAAGATCGGATATCTTTTCCTCGCGTGTTACAGAAAAGCCTCGCTCCTTCGTCGCTCGGTTTTTCAGTAACGCTTGGAAAAGATATCCTTATCTTCCACTCGGAGCCATGAAGAATCCTCTATATGTATGCATGTACCTACTAGAGACCATATGGATATTTGTATTCAACTGTGGGTGGGTGTCCAAACACCCACGTGATCCTGCCAACACCCACGCCAAATAAATGAACACCCACGTCAAACTCCCAACACCCATGACACAAAAATGAAAATTAAAAGCAGTAGCCTCATGATAACTTGAAAATGCAGTCAATTTTGAGACGGCTGTATAGAGCCATCAGGTGTGTATACGTACAACTTCATCTTTGGCGGTGAGAGCTGAGAGGTATATTTGGAAGGGGCTACACAATTTTACCTAGTAGGTTGAGAGCACTCAGCACCGGTCTCTTCTCAAGATCCCCTCGAGCAGTTCCTGTAGTTGCGACCTTGGGTGCAAAAATAGCTAATAGCTATCATCCGATTCATGAAATTTCACCAGCACCTTTCGGAAAATCATAAGAAAAGAAGTTAAAGATAACTGTTGTTCGAAAAAGGCAGTTAATTTGGAGATAATATGTAAGCAAGCAACCAATTTATGTGTTAGGACATTCTTTAACCCGCGCCCTGCTGGGGGGGGGGGTGTTTGAACACCCCCCTTGTGGTTTTTCGCGAATATCTCAAAAACGGCGGCGCTCCGCGCCGCCGTTTTTGGTACACCTTATCGTACATCAATTCTACACATGTTGTGAAAATTTCAGACCAAGGTCATTCAAGGTCAGGTCACCAGGTCTCTAGAAGTGACCTCACCTCATAAAAAGTTTCAATGTCTGTCATAGCTACACCGAGTGACCGATCGCTTTGAAACTTTCAGCGATTGCTAAGAGCAATAGCATGTACACTATGTATATCTCAGAATTTCGATATCGATGACCTAAGGTCAGGTAAATTTTGCGACCTCCCCATTAGCCGAATGTCGCTTTGCCAAATAGTAGTTCCGTATTGCCGTGTTGCCTCCCGTTGCGCAGTGTATTATTATTTTGCCGTAAAACCGGTCTCAACTCCTTTCTCCGCTTGCTCAGTGATGTTCCATTCTCCTTTGTTAACTGAAGAAACAAAACAAAATCATAATACACTGCGCAACGGGAGGCAACACGGCAATACGGAACTACTATTTGGCAAAGCGACATTCGGCTAATGGTAACGTATCGGAGCTCGCGACGATCACGGTACATTGATTAGACGGTCGCGAGGGCTGGACGACAAGCAGCGACATCTACATCCGTCATCCATGCAAGTTTTAGGTCCGTAGGAGGAAGATAGATGGCACTACGTGATATAGAGATGGTCGCTATATCGCACTTATCAAAAGTCAAGTGCTTTATGTACTAAGACGCACGAAAGTCAGTCCATAATTTATTAAAAATTAATAATAATAATATGTATATGGATAAATAACGTTATGGGTAAACCCCGCATCGCATCAGGAATTTGGCATTATAGGTAAGTCAATGGGAGAAAATTGAAATGCGCCTCTTTTGGACAAAAGACATTATAAACACTCCCAAACACCGAATTACAAGTGGTTTAGACACACTGAACATGAAAATGGTGTCCGTGACCCTTGTTTATGCCCTGAGGTCATCTTAGGTCACGAATGGTATCTAACGGTTTTTCGCAAATAACTTTTGATAGAGGCATGCTAGAGCGATGAAAACGCCTTAGATGTGTTCAGCTCGACGATACGGATCGACTGATATGCAACATGACCCTTTCCGGTCAGGTCATGACCTTGACCTGAGGTCAAATTTTCAAGTTGACCTTTCAAGGTCAACTTATAATACATTCGATGCGTCTTGACGAGAGGAACACAATGCCGGTAAAAGTAAGCTCGTACAAGGCTTGGGTCAAAAGTTATTGCAGAAAAACTGTTTCCGAAAAAATCGGCTATTTTTGCAATTTTTGCCCCCTGCAGGCAAAACCGTTGACGTTAGGTCAAATCTGAGAGAATCAGAAAGGGCTTTAATAGGGCTATCGAATGCGCTTTTCCGCGGCGCTGTAGCTCTATTGGTTCTCGAGTTATGCGTTGGCTTTTTGGAAATTGTCGACTTCGACATTCGACCTGGAAATCGGCGAAATTTTATATTCAATGACCTCTGGTGACCTGACCTTTGACCTGACCAAAAAATTGACCGAAGTGATTTCGTCATTATTTTTGACGCTCTTTCGAACGCCGCCTTCCGCGTATCGCTACGTGGCCCAGGAGCCGAGTTACAAGGGGGGTGTTCAAACACCCCCCCCCCCCCAGCAGGGCGTGGAAATCCAGGACCCCCAGCCGGGCGCGGGTTAAGACATAAAAAGTGTAGAATTACCAGGGCTACAAATTGCTATCGCGGAATTTCGATTTTTTTTTAAATTTTGACCCCAAAAATAAAAAGTTTGAATTGCCAAAAATTCAAAAAAAATCCGATTTTCGAAAAAATGGAACATGTGTGATAGGCCTTGCCGACTTTTATTCACATACCAAATTTTAGATCGATAGCTTTTTTTGGCCAAGTTATAGCGAAAAAACTTCAACATTGATGACGTCACATTTTCAAACTCAATTTCAAGCAATTCTAGACCACGTAGCGCAAAACAAAGACCACCATAAGAGTTTAGACTCGCCGTGACAAGCTGCATCGAATCAATACTCATTTTATGCAAAAATACCTATCACCTTTGAAATTGACCTGACCTTGACCTGACCTCCACCAGCAAGTGCCCTAAACCGTTCCTGATGGTCTTATAACCAACAACATTGAGTTTCACTGTTCACAGTAAAAATTGGCCATTAAACATTCATCACACAGCCCTAGTAAAATTGGGTTCATGTGCTGACCCTTGGTGACCTGACCTGTAATGTAACCTGACCTGGGATTGTCAGTGACCTGTAATAGCAACATATGTACTAGGTAACTGACGCCCTATCGCTAATTTTCGATAAAATGCGTTTTCGATGCTATAGCGCATTCCCTGGAAGACCCGTGACCGGCAAAACTTTTTATCTTTGACCTGACCTGTAACGTCATCGGTGACCCCGAGGTCAATGAAATTGGGTTTCTCATCACAAACTTGACAAGGCTTTCGAACGCAGTTCGAATTATGCGGATCCGACCAGTAGTTTCTGAGATACGAGGGGGCAAAAATAGCCCCCCCCCCCCCACCAGGTCGGCGTTATAAACAGACCCCACCAGGGCGCGGGTTAACTTCCTTCACTTTTTGCACAGCACCTTGTCGCTTCTTTTCCTACTGGATTGTTCCCTTCGTGAATCCTTCAACAGCCAGTGGATCAATGACGTTTTATTTATTCGAAAACATTCCTCACGCAGACGCGGCGGCTCATTTACAAACAATTATCGTTCCGACCCGTACGTCCTAATTCACCACTTAGCAGAGCCGCCCCACTATTGTCGCCACCAGTTTCCATACCTTTCGGCTCTTCACAGCTTAAAAAAGGTCTGATTATCCACTTTCCAGCTCGTTTTCGCTCTTCACTCTGAAAAATTACAATTGACGTGTGCCTTGTCCGGCAATACTTTATTGTGGGACAGAAATGGTGGATGACAATATTCATATCAATGCCCGCTGTTCACAGCACAGCCGGTGTGCAGCTGCACATACCAAAATGATACACATACAAGAGTGAAAACCCGCATAAGACATTTTGGGACAAACCCGCATCCACCATGCAAAACGCGTTCGTTACAATCCAAATTCGAAACAACTTACAAACCAATCGAAAGACTGAAAACGTGATCCAGTCTAAAACATCAATACACACTAGACAATCCCTTACAAAAGCTGAAGGCACGAGTCATAGCTGGGCCAAGGCAGACCTATGCAGGCATTGTTACACAAACGCAAGGTCACGCAACAATATTGTGCACAATCAATAAGCCCGCCATCGCGGCGCCTGGTGTGACCGAAAATTTGTAGAATGTGAGCGCGGCCGAAATCGGCATGTTCCTAGTGGATAGGTCCATGAGATAAACACTTAAAGGATCTTATAAAACCGAACTTATATGAAAGTCATAGCTTATGCTTCGATGCCTTATGCTAATTATGTTTTGATGATGCTGTTGCTGTCGTATTTAGTGTTTTATTGAGCCATCAGCCGTAAGCATCATAGCCAAGAATGGCTGTGGCTGCTGCGCTGATGCGATCACGGGCCTAGGTATTGCCAACGTGATTTGCGAGCTGTTCTAGGTGTAGTGAGAGCCGGGCCTGGCCGGAGGATAGCGACCTCCGGCAGGCCGTGGGCCGAATTGAGGTCGGGGCTGTACCTTCAGGTGGTTTGACGCGACGAGCCCGACAGGCGCAGGACGCGGGCCGCGCTGAAAACTGGCCGATGGGGCTGGGAAACGCCGGGATCCGTGCTGAGCCGTAGTTGGATGAGGGGCTCCGTATTGAGACTTGGTTGGAGCAGGTCCGTATTGAGGTTTGGGACGAGGGGGTCCATACTGGGGTTTGGGTCGAGGTGGAGGGCCATACTGAGGTTTGGACTGGGGATGATGAGGGGCTCCGTACTGGGGTTTGGGTGAAGGGGGCGGTCCGTATTTAGGTTTAGGTGGGGGAGGTCCGTACTGGGGTCTGGGTGGAAGAGGGGCTCCGTATTGAGGTTTAGGTAGAGGAGGGGCTCCGTATTGAGGTTTGGGTGGAGGTGGGGGTCCGTATTGCGGTTTGGGTGGAGGAGGGGCTCCGTATTGAGGTTTGGGTGGAGGAGGGGCTCCGTATTGTGGTTTGGGTGGAGGAGGGGGTCCGTATTGAGGTTTGGGTGGAGGAGGGGCTCCGTATTGAGGTTTGGGTGGAGGAGGGGCTTCGTATTGAGGTTTGGGTGGAGGAGGGGCTCCGTATTGTGGTTTGGGTGGAGGAGGGGGTCCGTATTGAGGTTTGGGTGGAAGAGGGGCTCCGTATTGAGGTTTGGGTGGAGGAGGGGCTCCGTACTGAGGTTTGGGCGAGGGAGGAGGTCCGTATTTAGGTTTGGGTGGAGATGGGGCTCCGTGTTGAGGTTTAGGTGGAGGAGGGGCTCCGTATTGGGGTTTGGGTTGAGGTGGTTCATACTGAGGTTTGGGTGAGGGAGGAGGTCCATACTCAGGTTTGGGTTGAGATGGGGCTCCGTAGTGAGGTTTAGGTGGAGGGGCTCCGTACTGAGGTTTGGGTTGAGGTGGTTCATACTGGGGTTTGGGTGAAGGAGGAGGTCCATACTCAGGTTTGGGTCGAGAAGGGGTTCCGTATTGAGGTCTCGATTGACGTGGAGGAGCCCCATATCGAGGTTCTGGTGGGGAAGCGCCATTAACTCTCATTGAATGAGACGGGCGCCCGTGAGCAGCTAAGGGGCCCTGAGGTCTCCTTGAAAAGTGATGCCCAACGCGCAATCCCTGTGAAAGGTCAGTGACTGTAGCGTGACCGTGCAATTGCTCATCATTTCCCATTCCTTCGCTGGAAACAATAGAAACGGCGGCAACACCATATTCTACTACAGCCACGCCAGCCTCGTCATCTGCCTCAGCGTGCAGCCCAGGCTGTGCCACATGTAAAGTAGCCTCAGTCTGACCCGACTGTGCTCCGGATGAGCTTATGTTCTCCGTATGTGACGCCGTCCCAATAACTTGTGATCCCCTAGTAAAAGTGGAGGCCGCACTTCCTGTGGTGAAGATCTCAGCGCCTTCGGAAGCCGAATCTGTGTGAATGGTTATGCCATCAGTGTTGCCGTCAAATTCTACCGTTGTGTTTTCAGTTACCACGGTATCTCCGCTATCTGGCTGTTCTAATTCGACAGTTCCTGGTTCCATTCTATGACCTTCTAGTTCTCCTTCTTCTGACGTCTCGAAAGGAAAAGTTTCTTGATCGTTATTCTGCGTCTGAGTCATTTTTCCATTCAGCTCTACATTGTGAGATAGATGTTGCTTTTGAGATGAAGTCGGAAACATCATTTTAGCACCTAACAAGGTAACCGTCCTCTTAAATTCGGGCGTCCCGTGGACTACCATAGAGCGAATAGGAGCATTTTCGTCTGCTGTGGGACTACCCATAATCTCAATGATGGTTCCGCTGGTCTTGATGGCTGACATATCCCCGAATAACAGCTCCTCATGTTTGCCAAGACGAGTATACACCAAAAGCACATGATCAAGGCAACGACCCTCTCCCTCGGGACACTCTGGAAGCGACCCAAGGAGTTCATAATCACGTGCACTCTCGCCGAAAAGCCGTTGACAGTTCGCTAGAGGCTGACAGGGAACTGGAATCTGTACTGATGAATGCTGGCCCTCTGGTATTTCAACACTGACCGAATCGGGAAAATCGATAGCCTGCTTCTCAGGTTTAGCTGAAGCTACAAAATCCTCAAACGTGCTTTCCGTGATGGGAGGAGACTGATTTTCAACGACATCATTGTTGTTGTCACCTTTCTCCTTCTGGATGTCAAGAGACGTGACATCTCTTTCTGATGTCGCCTTACTGGCATGCAAATCTGATGCAGTGGTAGGCAAAGGTGCGGGTTCTGGGCTGTTTCTGTACTGGTCTTCATTTGTCTCGAGTGGTACCGGAAGGTATGTTTCTGGTAGACGGATCTCAGCTATTGGCTGACTTTCGTTTGGTGATTCAGAATGATCTGATGGGGGAGAATCCGTCAATGGGACATTGCTGACATGATGGGAGTGTGCATCCCCTGCATCGACTGACGTCTGTGACTCATTGACCAATGTTTGTGACCCTGCTGGTGGAACATCGCTGGCTTCATGGATGTGCGCACCCGCAGTATGTGCTTCGTCGTGATGTACCGGTGGTGGAAGAAGAGACAGGTCCGGAGCTGGAATCACGTGGAGACCGGATGACGGCAGCGGGTGTGCCGATGGTGCCGAGTGGTGAGGGTGGTGGTGGTGGTGACCCGGAGAACCGTGGTGGCCGGGACTGACGCCAACAGCCGACAGCAGGGAAGCCGCAGGGGCCAGATCGTCCGTCATCCAGGAGTCGTCCACTTCACTGAAATCGTCTGACCGTGGGGATGCTACTGGTTTGGGAACGAGATCGGCTCCAGATTCTACAGTATCAAGTTCATAGTCAATGGAAGAGGCAGCTCCATCCAGATCATAGTATACGGTAGATTTGTCTGCGTGTAGATCGGTTACTAACGATGATGCAGAGCTGTCGAGCTCGGAACTCGAGCTGTCATAGTCATACTCAGCGGGTGTTTCTGCGTTTGCATACTGGGTGTCCGGAGGAAGGTAGACGCTGTTCAGAGGTGGTGTAGGGTAGTCGGTAGCCCTTTCATCCAAGGCCGGTGCTGGTGTTGTTGGAAAGGGTTCAGTAGGTAGCAAATAATCACTAGCGGGCAGCAATGCATCTTTAAAAACGCGAGTGCCTTCTTTGATCAGCAGAGGTTCAGGCAAAGGTTTTAGAAGAGTATTGAAGTCAGGTTGGCTGTTCACAACAAAAGGCTCCTCTTCTTCCTCCTGATTGTGTGCGTTAGTGGTAGAGATGTTACCCAGCTGCTGAGAGGGTGATACGTGATCGTTATTGTTGCCGCTCGGCTCAGGCTCCGAGAAGCTCTGTATTTTGTCTTCTTCGACAGGAGGCGTTGACGTTGTCATCACATCGTCCAGCGTCGGTAATTCGCCATGGAGCTGGAATTCGCCACGTTTGGTCGATTGGTCGTCTGGCTCGGAAAGAGACATCTTGAACTGAACGTCCGGTATCGGCGCGGACAGCTCGGCATCCAGAGGTGTCTCGGAGCCGGCCTCGGCACACGGTGGCAGTTCCGCAGGGGACATGAGCTCGGCCTGCTGTAGGACCAGGTCCAGGCAGCGCACCTGTCCCAGGTAGCAGGGCAGCAGGAGGCCGAACAGCTCCACGTCCCGCGCCGACTCCCCGTACGGCCGCCGGCAGCGCGACGGCAGAGAGCACGGCGCCGACGACTCGGCCTCGGTCGCCACGAAGTCGGGCCACGGGTCCTCGGGGAAGCAGCAGCGCTCGAAGCCGGCCGGGCACGTGATGGACGAGCGCCGGCCAGCGTCCCGGTGCGCGGCGCCGCACGTGCCGCACGGGTAGCAGCCGCACGGGGGACTCAGCTCGCCGGTCCTGGTGATGTTGACCACCGGCGTCACGGTCTGAGCTCGGAACGCGCGGATCACGGGGTGCTCTCGAGCCGCCCGCTCGTCCAGCACGTACCGACCGAGCTGAGAGCCAGCAGCGTCCGCTGTGGGAGGCTCCAAGTCTCCTGTCACAGCCGGAACCTGTGACACCGGATCGATTTTCGGTAAGGGCTCGTCGGTCGTCTCAGCTACCGTTACCTGGTGGAAGACCGTTTCGGCAACCGGCGTGGATGAAAATGTCAGTCCTTCAATGTCAGCAACAGGGAGAGAGATTTTGTCCTCAAATTCAGCTGGAGCGGACTGGAATGCCGCTTCTGTCACTGGAACATTAAGTGATGTACTGATCACGGGGAAAGGTTTGACAGTGGCTTTGGGTTCTCCGTGTTGGTTCAGCCTCCCGACAGCGGTCAAGATAGAGCTTTCAATGACGTGACCTGCATTTCTTAATTCATCTTCAAAGTGCGCCTCCACACTGTCCAGAGAGGTGGCGTCTGATGATGGTAGAATGGCGTTACCTGCCGGTAACTTGGAGTGGGTATCTGAAGAGCTGTCTGACTCGCTGATTAGTATCGCCTGAAAGGAACCAAACAGTGCCAGTTAAATGTCGAAGATCAGGAATGTTACCAGGTAGACAAACAACAGGTCAATCATACAATTGACGTAATGCTTATTTATCGGTATCTAGTTATATAATTTAACGCACAAATGCCAATATTTCGTCTTATTCTTCAAATTATCACCTAATTCAAGTATTATCAATAGCTACCGGTCTCGGTTTCGTGTTCGCTCCTGCCATCCCACCTGTTGAGCAGTGCCGGGCGGTGCGGAGTCGGTCTGGGCTGGGCTGATGTCGCTGAGGCCAGCAGTTGAGACCGCTGGGCTGATGTCGCTGAGGTCAGCAGCTGAGACAGCTGGGCTGCTGCCGGGCGCCGACCTGCAACAACCAACCCCAGGTTAGGCCACTGACCGTCCGATGTCAAATCGGCCGCCCTGGGAAATAATGCTGAACAGCGGTATCGCGGCATACCGGTGGCACAAGCTTCAGTGGCATTATCGTTAGTCTGGAGTCTGGACAGAACATGCTAAATGCCCGCATGTTTGTATCCACATTTATGTACAAATTGGACTGCATTTGTATGACTTAACTTGAGGAGGTAGGCAATTAGGCATGCATTTCTAAAATTGCATATCTAGGAACTCTGCTGCATGATAACGGTTGACGCCTTTACTTGACATTTTGTTAACGGCAAACGTCCGTGCATCTGCTCGAGCTCATCGTTTAGACTCACTGGAATGGTCCTGCAGTATCAGTTTCAGAAGGACCGATGTGACCGGGATGCTGAGCTGTCGGTGGTGTGTCCGCGCTGGTGGTTGGCCCGCCGCTGTTCAGCGCAGTGTGGGCGCTGGGCGCCGGTGTGGCGGAGACGGCCGCGCTGTCTCGGTGGGGCACGGTCCCGCTGGTGGCGGCGGTCACCGCTCGGACAGGGGGTCGCCGTCGGTGGGAGGGCGCGCGGCGGCCCACACCCAGCTGTCCCCCCAGCACTGCGTGGTGGCGCAGCCCGCCGCCGTCGCCGGCGCGTGGACAGCACCGGAAGTGGCCGTACTCGTGACACGGCCCCAGCACGCCGAAATGGAGCACGTCCAGCGGGCGGGTGCCGTAGTGGTCGGGACACTGGAGTCGGGTGCGGCACGGGCAGACGTCGGGCTGCTGCTGCCCGCCGACCTGCGCCGCCAGCACCACCAGCGCTGCCGCCAGCAGCCGCATGGCCAGCTCGGTACGGACGGACGCTCCCTGCGGCCGGCAGACGACTCGTCAGACCGCAGCCAGCTATAACCGATCGGCCTGCGATATCGACATTCAATGCATGGGTTAAAGAAAGTAGGTAGTTCACGTGCCTTAGCCCGCACCGATCTTGACGACCTCTTTGACCTAACCCCCCCCCCAAAAAGAGAGGTATTTTCATGGTTTACACTCTTTCGAAAGTGGTTTCAAGAGAATCATATTCTCACCCCACCGTCGGTGCGTGCCCGGCTGCAAGACGTTGTCATGGTGTGTCAAAAGTGGAAATAGCCGCCCGGCTTTAGTTCGCCAACCTTGTCAATAGATGGCAGTACCACAATATGGGCAGCGGATCGTGCAATTGACGTCAAATTTTCGTTATCTGCTAAGAATTGAATGGCGGATCTTTTCATGCAAGAATCAAGTAAATCGGTCCACAACTTTTCTAGCAACAGAGATATGAAGTCAAACACCCTGCCAGAGCGGCGGCGCGGCGGCCGTCACGCGCCGCCTGGGAGACTGGCGGCGCTGAACGGTTCCGACTTGGCACTGCACTAAAACCTGTTAACTGCTTGAAATAGTTATTATAGCAAAATTTTCATTCAAATGAGGAATAACCAAGGGCAGGAAGTATGTATGCTTGTGTGCGTACTGTGTAAGCCAAGAAACTGCATTAGCAGATACTCGCTAATATTAGATCCAGCCAAGTCCAAACGCATTCCAGGGGATGTGTTCAGCTGATGGGTCAACAATATTTATCGTTCGAGGGCGGATACAGTTTTAACAATACACAAAATATTTTTGCACAGCTCTATTCCTTGAATAATTCTCTTCAACGCCTCATTCCTACTGTGGACGTCAAACCGCATGGGACGCGACTTTTTCGCAATAACTTTTGAATACGTTGCCTCTCAAGAACGAAACTTCGGCAATGGACGTTTCAGACCCCGGCCTAATTTTTATTACTAAGGTTTGTCAATGTCCGATCAATATTTAGGGCACTTCCCGTTCACTCGTAATGCTAAGTGAAATATCAGCCCGGATGGCGGCTATCGCCAGGCTGCTCGCGAAGCCCCGCCTACTAACTACGAATTCCCTGCCATCTACCGTTCAGACACGACTGCCATCTGTCGGTCGATCCTCACTCAGAACCGGTTCTGCATGCTGTGTGCGTCGGGTCTCAGATGGGCGGACATCTCGAAACCGAGATTGTTCAGTATGGCCTTTTACCAGGTTTTTAAATCCGAGAAAAAAAACCGAGATGTTCAGTATGGCCCTTTACCAAATTAACCCGGCAGTTGCTGGGGTATTTCGCCACCCACCGTTTGCTGGGGGGGGGGGGCGTTAAACGCCCCCCAGCCGATAACTCGAGAACCAATAGGCGCAGCGAAACGCACGAGGCGGCAAACGAAAGAACGCGATGAGACGCTTCAGATGAGTACTTTAAAGTTGAATTTTGAGGTCACAGGTCGGGTCAAGGTCAGCTCAAACACCTGAAATCGGGCTTTCAGTAGCATGGACTTCGCAATGGGCGGCTCTCGTCATAAACTCTGTCAAAACGGTGCACAATCCATCATATAAGGCCTACAAGAGTGTCAGCTCCATGTAGGGGTCAGTCAAGCATAGGTCAGGGTCAAGGTCAGGTCAACCGCGTAGGCACATATCCCCGAAAATCAAAACTGATATTCGCAGCCTGTGACACATGTTTTATGGGCAATTTGGGGCGTAGAACACGACGGTGACATTCATTTTGTCATATGTGTACGTGTTTGACTCAAAAACTAAATTTAAGAAATGCATGCATCATGGTCGTGAAGTAGTCACGATAAACTGCCAAGATTCAGTTCAAGATTTTGAAAAATGCGGATCGATAATCAATAATCGAAGATAGCCATTTGATTGTTCATGGTATTGGCAGTCTAATGGCGTTTACGGCATGTCTGTATGTCTGTTCTGTGATTTTATATGATTTTTTGAACATATGCCGTTTTTGGTCAAAAACTCAGAAATCATGACGTCACTACAACCTCCATATCTCAAAAACTTTCCGACCGATTTTTTTTGAAACTTTGTCACAATACACTTTAATCAATTCCCTACAGGTACCCAAAATTTGGTGCGCCTGCGGCGCGCCGTTTTTATGCTATGGTCCGGCGAAAAAAGTGGGGGGCGTTTAACGCCCCCCCCCCAGCAACTCGCGGGTTAACTATACGAATTATTGACTTAGCAGCAGGGATGCAGAGCCTTGAACATTTGAGTCAGCTCCAGCTCCGGCTCCGGCTCCGAGTGAAATGGCAATACGGCTCCGGCTCCGGCTCCCACTCAGGGCAAAATATGACGGCTCCGGCGGATCCGGCTCCCCTCCGGCTACGCGTACCGGTGCATTACGGAAACATTTAAGTTGGGGCATATTGGGGCTTGGCAAGATAACACGAAGTGTACTAACGTTCCTGGCGGTTTGATATCTACAAGAACCTAAAATTAACCTGATAAACCTGATGAGCAGGTTATCGCGGCTTCCTTCACGGTTAAATAGTAAATACCGACAAGAGGCGCATTGCAAATACATTCTTGCAGCCCTTAGGGCAAGCATGAATAAGGTACAGTCACCAGCACTTGCTACTAATCACCTCGTTTTTGTTCAGTAGTTTGAAGACCGATCAACTGTCAGTCGCGCAAGATACGTCAAACGATCCGTTTGGTCCTCCGATTTTCGAATATCTAACTTGTTTTTGTATATTCGAAGCATTTTGGGATGGGGAGCCAAAAAAACCTCTTTTCTGCCCTAAAGTGTGCCCCAAGAAGTCGTAGAACCTAGCCCCGCCTCTGATCCACAGACCACTAGTGCCATCTCTTGTCAGCCGAACAAGCCGCAGAAGTAAATAATGTCACGTGACCTTTGCACACGCTACAATTACTACGCAGCTGTAGTGGGGAAAGCGGGGCGGAGGCGTGGAGAGGGACGCGATCGGTCGGCTGGGGTCAGGTCGCCGAGGTCATAGGTCATCCGCCGGAGGGTGTTTGAGCGGTTGGGCCGTGTGGGCTGGGGCCTGCGGAGTGGGGAGCGCCTGGACCTGTCTTGAAACAAGTCCTACAACGCTGTGACAGTCGAGAATATTGTGAGGAAAGAGAGAGAGAGAGGGAGATGGAGAGGGCGAGAGAGAGAAGAGAGAAAGAGAGAGAGGAGAGAGAGGGAGAGAGTGAAAGAGAGAGAAAGAGAGAAAGAGAGAGGAAGAGAGAGAGAGAGAGGGAGAGATAAATAGAGAGAGAGAGAGAGAGAGAGAGAGAGAGAGAAAGAGAGAGAGAGAGCGAGAGAGAGCGAGAGCGAGAGCGAGAGCGAGAGCGAGAGCGAGAGAGAGCGAGAGCGAGAGCGAGAGCGAGAGCGAGAGCGAGAGCGAGAGCGAGAGCGAGAGCGAGAGCGAGAGCGAGAGCGAGAGCGAGAGCGAGAGCGAGAGCGAGAGCGAGAGAGAGAGAGAGAGAGAGAGAGAGAGAGAGAGAGAGAGAGAGAGAGAGAGAGAGAGAGAGAGAGAGAGAGAGAGAGAGAGAGAGAGATAACTGAAAAGGAAAACCAGAGAGGGTAAAATGAGAAAGAGGGCAATGGGTAAATCAGTGGGAGGGAGCGAGAGAGGAAATATTTAGTTGTGTCAGCTTGTTTCACATGTAAAATGCAAATTTGCTTTCCATCATTACAGCTTCGGATTGGAAATTAAATCTTAGCATCCTTGTGATAAACCCACGTTGACGGGATGCAGTAGCGGCGGAACAACTTCAATTAAGCGGGGGGGGGGGGGCACTGCCGACTTTTGGTCCTATTATTTCCATGCAACGCTCATTGGGCTAATGTTGAAATGCCAAAATCAAAGGGGGCACGTTGCCCCGGTGCACTCCCCGTTCCGCCGCCTATGACGGGATGGGGACGCTTTTATGGTCGTCGTTGGGAGCTCGGCACTAATGGGGTCTGGGGATGATGTTGAAGGTTTCGCAAATGTTTCATAAAAGATGCTATTTTTTGCACAACCTATTAAACATTTTTTACGTTTGCTATGAAAATGTTAGGCCCAGTTCCTTCAAGATCAGGTCCACGACTCCACAGCTTACAACAGGAGCTAGCTAACGTAACAATTAACCCGCGCCGCCGTGTTGGTGGCATTAACTTTCCATCGAGTGCTGGGGGGGGGCGTTTTACGCCCCTCCGTCTAACTCGGCTCCTGGGCCACGTAGCGACACGCGGTAAGCGACAATCGAAAGAGCGTCAAAAATAAGGAGAAAAACACTCGGTCATTTTAAGGTCAGGGCAAAGGTCAGGTCACCAGGGTTCATCAAAGGTCAAATTTTCTTGATTTCAACGATTTCGAACACCCGACGGCTAACTCGGGAACCAATAGAGCTACAGCGCCGCGGAAAAGCGCATTCGATAGCTCTTTTAACGTTTTTTCGCCAACATGTCCTCAAATGACCTCAGGGGCACACACACAGGTGCAACTTTCCGATTCAGTGTGTCATGTTTACCTATGGACCGATGTTTGAGAGGGTGTAGAACGAAATTCGTCCAAAAGAGGCGCATTTCAATTTTCTCCCATTGACTTACACCTAATGGAGCAGTCGCAAAACTGACCTGAGCTTAGGTCACAGACATGAAAAATCCGAGGTATCCGTCTTATACATACCTACTGTTACCCTAAGCAAGCACGGAAAGTTTTAAAGTGATCGCTCAGTCGGTGTAGCTACAACGAGCTTTCGAATTTTTTTCTGAGGCAAGGTCACTTGACGTTACCTGGTGACCTGACCTTGAATGACGCTACGCGTCGCGTCGCCGTTTTTTTTAGATATTCGCGGAAAACCTGAGGGGGAAGGGCGTAAAAACGCCCCCCCCCCCCCAGCACGGCGCGGGTGGTCGACATAGCGACTCGGACTGAACAAATGCCTTTAACGTTTCAACGGTTGAATAAGGTGAGAGGATTGAGGTAGGCTTGTATCGGATTTTCTTCTGCTTGTCGGTAGTTTAGGTTGAGCGCGAGCTGTCCATAATCATTCAAGAGGGAAAATTCAGCTGCACATCGTTC